AACACATCACCTCCCATTACAACCTCAACAACCCCCACTACTACAACATTTACAGGTTCAACTAAAACCACAATACCCCACATTACAACCCCCATTACAACAACATCTACAGGTTCAACTACAACCACAACACCTTCCATTACAACCTCAACAACTCCCACCACAACAACATTTAAAGGTTCAATGATAACAACAACACCTCCCATTACAATCTCAACAACTGCCACTAGAACAACATTTACAGATTCAACTACAATCACATCACCTCACATTACAACCTCAACAACTGCCACTAGAACAACATCTAAAGGTTCAATTATAACAACAACACCTCCCATTACAACCTCAACAACCCCAACTACAACAACATCTACAGCTTCAACTACAACCACAACACCTCTCATTACAACCTCAACAACTGCCACTAGAACAACATCTAAAGGTTCAATTATAACAACAACACCCCCCATTACAACCTCAACAAGACCAACTACAACAACATCTACAGCTTCAACTACAACCACAACACCCCCCATTACAACCTCAACAACTGCAACTACATCAACATCTACAGGTTCAACTACAGCCATAACACCTCCCATTACAACCTCAACAAATGCCACTACAACAGCATCTAAAGGTTCAACTAACACCACATCAGATCCCATTACAACCTCAACAACTGCCACTACAACAACATTTACAGTTTCAACTACAACCACATCACCTTCCATTACAACCTCAACAACTCTCACTGCAATAACATTTACAAGTTCAACTACAACCACATCACCTTCCATTACAACCTTAACAACTGCAACTACAACAACATCTCAAGGTTCTAAAGGTTCAACTACAAACACATCACCTCCCCTTACAACATCAACACCTCCCACTGCAACAACATCTAAAGGATTAACTACAACCACAGCATCTCCCATTACAACCTCAACAACTCTCTCTACAACAACATCTACTGGTTCCATTACAACCACAGTATCACACAATACAACCTCAACAACCCCAACTACAAAAACATCTATAACTACAACCACAATATCACACATTACAAACTCAACAACTCCCACTACAACAGCATCTACAGGTTCAACTAACAACACATCAGATCCCATTACA